TAGATCCTCGAGCCTATCTAGGGTAGCTAGCTAGCTAGCCAGGGTTAATCAGTCTACACTGACACCATGCCATGGTCACATGGTTCTAAAACAAACACAGCAGTCTGTACCTTCTGAAAATCAATTGGAATTTGGAAAAGTCAAAGCCAGTTACTTCTAAAAAGCCTAGCTATAATAAACAAAAGATTTAATTACACTACGGTTAATACAGTACCGGTATAATAATATAATTCCAGTAGCAAATCTAACCACACCCTTTAATATAAATTTTTTTGCTGTTTTAAAAGCAGAAACTGGCACATACATGCAACTACAATCACAGCATAAATTGCACACTATCTAAGCACACAGCACACATTTATGTATCTTACCTGGAAAGTAGATCTAGTCACTAGACAGAACTGCTTTTGCTGGTATCTGTGACTCAGCAAATGCATGACTGCATTATAAATAGACCATTACATCAAAAGTTCATTTGTTGCACATCACATGTATAATGCATAATGCACCATCATCCACCATGCATTAGTAATAGCATGTCTAGCTAGTATGCTGATCTAGACTGCACTGGTCCGGTCCAGAGGCAGGAGGTTAAGGTTGCTCATCATGCATGCGTCATGTGATGATGATGTCACTTCCTCTATTATGCCTAGATCTACTCATAGATATTAGAGACTACGTAGTCTCTAATATCTATGATCTACTTTACCTTCATAAAAATGGAAGATTCTCTCTCTTTTCAATTTAGCAGCAGTTATCTCTCTAATAGTACCTGCAATTGACTCAAAAACGTCAGTGCATCCAGATAAAAAATTACTAAACATAACACCATTTTTTCTTTTTAATGCAGTAAAATGTAATTGAGTTGTAACTGGTCTCAGACTTCTTCACCTATCACATTTTATAGATAACTAGGAGTCTGCATACACTTTGCAAACAAACAATAACGGCAAAAATAAAATCTGCACTTATTTTAGAGGTGCAGTATCTTTGCCTTTGCTAGAAAAGTGTGATTTAGCTATCTGAGACAGAGGACAAGTTTGTGCTACCTGTAGCTGACTGAGCAGAAGGTATTATGTTTATTAGTCTTTTAAATAGATGCATTGAACTTTTTGAGTCAATTGCAAGTATTATTAGTGAGATAACTGCTGCTAAAGTGAAAAGAGAGAGAATACTCCATTTTTAAAGAAGGGTGTGGCTTTATTGTCTATTTAAATAATTTAACCCTTTCTAAGTTTCTAAAGTATGAAGAGAAAAGAAAGGACAAAAGTCAAGTACAGTAAACTAGTCAGCATTTCAAATGACAGAGAAGATGAGTATCATGACGACCAGTTCACAGAAAACAGTCCAGTTAAGATACCTGTTCGTTCCATAGTCTTGGCCACGTTCCTCTTTCTTGTTGGTAGTGTGTTACTTATATTGGCTGGTCTATTGATTGGTGGAGTGTTTGGTGATACACCTGATGCTAGTTCAGCCCCTCTACTACTAATAGGCTCCATTACGTTCATTCCTGGTTTTTATCATGTCCGGCTAGCGTATTATGCATGGAAAGGCTACCATGGTTACTCATTCAGTGACATACCTAGTTACGATGACTGAAATATGTTTTTGTCACTTTTTTAATGCAAATGATCGTTATTGAAATGATTGTTATTGAAATCATGTTAAGAATTAAGTCAACTAACTTAGTCTTAGTTACAGAGATAATAGAATTCATTGATGTTGTAACTAATTAATGATTATGGTTATACTCCCCCGCCATCACTTTAGCTGCTCCTATTACCGCCTACGTTCTTGCACTTTAATTTTCCAGCCCTTGCTTCTTCCCTTCTTATTTCTTTTTCTCTGGTGCCCCCTTTTGTGAGGAAGGAAGACCAGCAATGGCCGAGGGGATAGGAGGAGGTGACAAGGCTCAAGCAACGCCAATGATATCTCTTACTGGAGGAACACCAAAAATGAATTTGCAACAAGTAGGCTGCCTGTGGTGACAATTACTGATTGTTATTTTTTTTAATAAAAATATTTTATGAATTTAGAGTCTAAGTCATTGCTTATTTATTTATACTTTTTTCTTATCTCTATTCANGCAGTACGTGATGGTCGTGAAGAGGTGTTGAGACAATGGCTGGGTCAGCTAACAGTAAAGA